ATACAAATGCGAGTGTTAATTAGCGGTGGCGGATGAATAACTTTTATTTTACGACTGATTATTTTATGAATACATTGGAGGAGTTTGGGATTTGAACTTTTCATGCATTGGCCTGTGATAGCGACAACGATAGCGAGTGAGCGGTTTAAAGGAGTTTTCTTTTAGAAACGGCTCGTTCACTACGACTGGGGGGAGGGCTTTTTTCTTTTTCTTTTTCTTACATTGGAGTTATATATGGATTGGGGTTTCAGATGAGGGATGGATGGGTGGATGGGTGGATGGATGGTTAGGGCATTGGCATGAGGTTGACATTATACTGGCTGGAATTCTCCAATACTTACCCTGGTGGAATGGGAGGAAATAGAATATAAGAATATGCAGAGAAATCGAAGATACAAACAATACTTCTTGGGTTCTTTCGTAATAACCATGCCAGCTCAAATATGAGAATCATGGCGAATGAATGAATGAATGGATGCATGCATGCGTGCGTGCGTGCGTGCGTGAAGGAAAGCATGGTAGAAGTGATACTATCGTTCCAGAAATCCATTTGATTGTGACGGGCCTAAAAACTTGGAATGAAAATCATTCTTGGATTCTGAAGATGCTGTATCTAATGAAATGCTTCATCTATATCAAATCATGGATACATCGGTAATCAGATATACGGACCAGTAGTATATAGAAGAAGATTAGGTGAGATGTACATCAGAGTGAACTTAACAACCAATCAAATATAAAATCATTACAAAAATGACAAATGGATGGATTCAGTATATCTTCAAGTAGTTTTGATGGATTGTTGTTATTGTTTAGATATAATTGTTTTCTTTTTTTTTCATAGGGCTGGATTGGTGAGGAATGGAAGGAATTATTTCTTTCAACCTGCCTGCCATTGTTAATCTATTTTTAGGCTTGGTTACTGAGCTTAGGGGATGCTTTCATGCTACTACAATGCGTCTGAGACTCTGAGCTGCGGGCCATGCCTAGCGTTACTACCTGGAACCAATAATTAGCTGGACGGATGGCTGCAAACGTGGATGGATGAAAGTTTAATACCTAGATCTCCTATTAGGGTGCATAAGGTTTATTGCGACTGTGATTGATTATTTGATTATGAGGAGGATTTTTGTATTCGCTTTGTTAGGTTTTTTTTACAGGAAGATTGATAAATATTTAAAATTGATTGTCAGGTTCTGATGGCTGTGGAATTGATGGAATTGATGGAATATTCGGTTTCATAAGCAATGATCTTATGACGGGATCATCAAAGGACTCCACTATACTGCGAATATTACAATACGTATGGTCGGCATCGATACGAGTGCCTTACATACCTATTCCCACCTACTTACCTACTTATCTAAATTGCCAGATTGTAACATTCACGAAACTGGAGCCGCGAAATACATTGCATCAGTATCCGTCCCAATGATCTCGAAACATCAATTTTTTGCGTCGCGGGCTTTACGAATGAAGGATGCATTCTAGCATTGCATTGCATATGATAGGAGAGGAGATCAGTGGAGAGTTCGCAGTTACTGGTACAATGGCTACAATGGCAGACGCGAATTTAGATGGCAGGACGGGTAGTACGACTCCGGGAAGGATTACTCGGCCGGAAACCACGGGTGCGAAGAATTCACACTCTGATACCGCAGCGACATCTGCCCCTAGGGATTTTGCATCAGCATCAGCATCAGCATCGGCATCGGCATCGGATTCAACTTTGCATTCAAATTCGAGTACGACGACATCTTCTCCGCAGAGGATCAATAGAAACCATAATCCGAGTACAAATTCGCTTCGAAATATAAATACAGGAGGAGCGGGAATAGAAACGGGAACGGGGAGAGGAACAGGCGCAGTGCAGAATGCGGCGTTGACGGGTGCGGCGCTGGCTTTCTCGAATGCGAAGGGCAAGACGACGCCGGCGGTGCCGAATAAGTTTGCGGGGAAAACACAATTGGGGGGTAATGGTTTGGGGGGAAAGGATGGGGCATTGGCGGCTGCTACGAAGGTGAGGGTTGGAGGGGGAGTGTCCCCGAATAATGGAGGAGGGATAGCGAGAAGTCCGTCTAAGGTTTCGGTCATGGATGCGGGGACGGGAGGTGGGCAGCAGATATATGGATATCAAAAAGTAGGGAGGGAAAGGACAGGGGAGAGTGAAACGGATGGGGGGAGTGTTAATGGGGGACTGGAGTATCAGGGAGGACAGAGAATCCCTCAAAAACGAAACCAAAGACCGAATGGGCATTTATTACCTCCATTTTCGGGTACATCGGAAACCAGTCTGAAGGCGAAAAATAATTCGGCGGCATTTATGGCGGCTAATTTGGCGGCAAAGAGAAGTAGGGACAGTAGTCCAAATCATGCAGGGCAAAATTATGGGATGGGAGTGGGAATGGGGAAACAGGCAAGTCCATTGCCGAGTAGAAGACAGAGTTATGCGAGTTCAATTGATAGTATGGATAGGAGGGTGGATTTATCGAGTATCCCTCCTACGTCTAATTTGGTGGAGATGTGGGAGCGACCGGATAAGGGAGTGAAGAAGGGAGGAGGAATTGTGAGTAATAGAGGAAATGAGATGGTGAATAGACAGCATCAGGAAAGACCGGCTTCGAGTCATGCGCCTGTACCTGTTTTGAAACCGGCAGGGCTGGCCAGACCGGTTTCTTCTCATGCTTCGGAATCTTTAGTAAGACCTCGAATTGCTCCCGAGCAAGCCACTATTTCTGAGCAAGTGAAGTCGAAGTCGAAGCCTGTGGTACATCCACGGCCTTCTTCTACGCAAGCTTCAGTGTCTGAGCTCTCGAAACCTACCTCGAACTCTGACGTACAGCCTCCATCCGTTTCTTCCCACACGACTGGTTCCGAAGGTCCAAAACCAACTCCGAAACCTCCAGTGCGGAAGCCTGTCATACACAATACTCGACCTGCTTCTTCTCATGGCCCAACACCTAAACTTTCTACAAAACCTTCAATACAAAAACTCACCCGGCCAGTTTCTTCTCATGGACCACTGCCTGTGAAACCGTCAGTAAAACCCTCGCTACAATCTATTCGACCTACATCCTCTCATACTCCGGAGTCTATCGAATCATCCTCAAAGACATCAACGCAGAAGCCATCTTTACCACCCCCACGACGCAAACCTGCTAATCTTTCTGCATCGGAGGACCAATCAACACACCTTCCCATGCATGCGCCTCAGCCACGTTCAATGCAATCTCCTATATTGACAACAGCCGACAGAACCGAACCAGTCTTGGAATCTTCCACTCAATCACCAAGGCGGTCTTCTACCACAAAAACTCCACGTAGATCCTCCAAACCCACACCGCTGTCTAGACCACCAGTGTCTAGGCAATCCTACAATAACGATGCGGACGATGATGGATCCTCAGACGATTCCTTTGTATCCGCATCTTCTCAACCTAAACCTAAATCTCCCTCCCTGCGTGCAAAAATAGCAGAGCAAAAACGACTTCAGTCGTCCAATTACGCCCCGAGCATGACTGCCGAAACCCTTTCCGATGCTATGGTGGCCGGATATCTTGCTTCATCACGTGCTTCCACTCCTTCTATATCCTCCGGAGTGATTCAACCTCCAGCTCCTCCTCCCCCTCGACGACTCAAGAAACTTTTCCATTCCGAGCATTCAAGAACACCCACACCTCCTCAGAGCACTTTATCAGCAAATGGAGTTCCGACCATGAAAACTACCATGCGGAAACCGAAAACGGAGAAAGAATTGAGGGAAGAAGAGGGAGAGGGGGAACGGAGAAGGGCTAAGAAGCATTTGGTTAAGAAACATCCGAATAAACATGATGAGGGAAACCGAAAGAGATGGAGAGATGAAATTACGGAGAAAGAAAGAAAAAGATATGAAGCTCTCTGGGCTAGTAATAAAGGTCTTTTTCCACACACGATAGATCATCGTGGGGAAATGGTGGAAATTGAAAGCGCGGTGGATACGGTACCGGGAATCGTGGTGAAGGATCTGTGGGAGAGGAGTAGATTGGGTGGAGATGTGTTGGAGGAGGTTTGGGAATTGGTTCATGGGAAGGGATATTGGGGACGTGATAAGGAAAGAAGATATGGCAGGTTGGAGAGAGATGAATTTGTAGTCGGTCTGTGGCTTATTGATCAGAGGTTGAAGGGGAGGAAGTTGCCCGCGAGAGTTAATCATAGTATTTGGGCGAGTGCGTCGTGATGGGCGGGTGGAGGTTTGGGTTGCTGATTGATGGATGGATGGATGGGTTGGGTTTAAGATGGGTTGGATGGGATTGGGTTACTTGACGTTGAGATTTATGCTTGTAGGTAGGTATCCAGGAAACTAGATCATAGGAATACGATGGTTAATAGAGTAAGAGTAAGAGGAGGCGAAAACAGAAATCCTAAGAATAGCTCGCTCGCGCGAAGAGGGGGTGGTGATGTACATAGATAGAGAGATTAGAATGGATTTGGATTAGGCTGGGTTGATGTATTATATGGGTAAAAGGATGAGATTTTGTTGCGTTGTGCGGAATTGCATTGTGTGGGATTAGATTGAATTGCATCGAATTGCATTGGATTGGAATGGACTAATTGAATTAGACCGATTGGATTATAGGATCATGGGATTAAGCTTAATACCTCCGTAGCGATGAATAATCAGTATGTATATAAAGCCAGATTGATGGGGGTTAATTAGTGAGTGAGTGAGTGCTATGATGTGGTGTGGATTGAAATCAAATTAAGTCGGAAGCTGAGTTAGGTTGTGAGCATTGCATTGTGTTGTATTGTGTTGTGTTGTGTTGAATGTATGATTGGAAGATTGATGATTGGAAGATTGATGATTGTCATTGTGTTGAGTGGATAGATAGATGTAAACCCCAACCTATAACCCAAGAACTCGATTCTCATTCTCATTCTTCATACCATACCATACCATACCATACCATACCTACAATCCCCCCCACCACCTCACCCCCTCTTCAGAAAAATCCCTCACATCCCTACACCCCCCTCCCCAATAACTCTCTCACACCACTCCCACCACTTCCTTCCCCTCCCCTCCCCTCCTCCAACGCAGCATAGATATCCTCGCGCTGATTGCGCGACTGCACGCGTCCCCAGGGAACAATAAACGCGCCTTGATATGCCGAAGTTAGTGAAGGACTGAGTCCGGCGAAAAGTTTAGTGTCGGCACCGAGTTTGGCGGGGTGCAGAAGTAGATTGATGGAGAATTTGGTGGTGGGGGCGAGCGTGCGGTAGGCTTGGGTTTGAAGATTACCAGGGGTTTGGATGAGCTGAGGGGGGAGGGAGGGGTGTTAGTTTGGGGGAGAGGGATGGGGAAAGGGATGGGGGGAGGAGGGATGGAAGAGGAGGTGGGGAAATTAATCTTATATGAGATGATGAGAAAGAACAAAAAAACATATACTTAAGATCCCCTCTCCTCCCCACCTCCTCCCCGCCGCCGTCGAAACCGCATAATCCACAAACTCATTCCCGTACCCCCCCTCTCCAAATCCCTCATACAAACCCCACCATCCGGACTCCTCCCCTCCGCCATCCAACTCGTCATCCACACAATCCTCACCCCATCCTTCTCACATTCCCTCGTCGCCCTCTTCAAACACCCCAGCAGCAAGCGCGTAAATAAAAACGTCCCCACCACATTAACCCCCATATGTCCCTCAATCCCCTGTTTCATTTTCGAGCCCGTAGGTAATCCTCCTATCCCCGCATTATTCCACAGAACATCAAGTTTATCCTCGCGCTTTTGAAACGTTTCAGCCGCGGCGCGAATGCTGTGGAAATCCATGAGGTCGAGAGGGAGGAAGATGGGATTTTCCGCTTTGGAGGGATCGCTCGCGGTGACTTCGGAGATGGCGGATGCACCGGATGAGGAAGAGCGACTCGCCATGTAGATGGTGGCGTTGGTGGGATGGAGCATTTTGATGAGCTCGAAGCCGACGCCTTGGTTGCCGCCGGTGACGAGGACTTTGCCTTTTTGGGAGGGGACGTCTTTTCAGTGAAGAGGGGGGAGGGGAGGAAATATTGGGTGAACATGGAGGAGAAGGACATGGTGGGATGGATGGGATATTTGCGGAAGGTTTTTTTGGGTGTTTTGGGGAAAGATTGTTTGGGGGTTTGAGAAGAGAGATGGGGAAGAGTGTCTTTTCGTGAATGAATGAATTAATGGGTGAATGAAACGGGAGTTAGGTCTATGTACTAATTGCAAACCAGCATGTTGGTATTTCACTGTTGGCTGACACACATATATTAACTCCAACTCCAACATCTTCGTACGTTGTTCCACTCAGAACGCAGTTCGGGGCATTTACCAAACTAAAGCTCGATGAGAACTTTCCACACGGAACATTTATACAAACCACTCAATCCAATCTAACCACCCAAATCCCTCACGAACTCAACACCTTCACTTTGCATCGCAGTATATGTATCGCAGAACTAATGCGTATCAATCTCACGTAGCAGAAAGATAAACTTCCACTACTAGTAGTCCGAAAACAAAACGAAAGGACCAAAATAACACATGTATTGCACCGATAAAACAAAGATATTGATATTGATACCCTATCTATATCTAATCCCCATTTCCCCTCTTCCATAATATCATCATCTCATCTAAGACCAAGTAAGTTATTACTACCTTGTCATTTCATTTCATTCATTTCCATCTTCTGATCTCCCAAAGCCAACCAGCCAGTTAGCCAAGCAGCAAACCCCTGCTAGAAATATGCAACAACTAGAACGCCATTGCAATGCTATTAATCCCATTCCACTTCCACTCCAAATATATGCTTTTGATCCCATCCTATCCCATCCACGCACACCATGTAATAATTAGCTTACTAAGTAATGAACCTCAATCTCAAACTCGACGCGAGATTTATGCAACTACAGCACCACTTTGAAATCTCATTCCCAACACCCAACTGCCCTCAAACTCCACTCCTCTTCTGACTCTCGTACCAGCTTTCTTCCAAACTGCCATTCCAAGTCCAATATCCGCAACGAATAGTTGCCATTCCCCACTGGCTTTCGCGTTTGCACTTGTAATTCCCAATCCTGCTTTCTCCTCATCACCAACTCCCTTACCCATACTCATTGCTTCTAACAAACCCTTCTTAGGTGCTCCCATTGCAACAACATATCTCGCGTGAATGTATAATTTTCGTCCATCAATTACACTGACCTTTCCACTCGTGGGATCAATGCCCGTAGGAACATCAATGGCAAGAACCGATGCTTTACTTCGGTTGGCCCATTCAATGAGTTCGTAAGCTGCAGCCTGATCACCTGTTCGTAATTCTTCGAACGACATTGTGAGACCAAGAAGACCATCTATAATGAGATCGATAGGTGCGCCTGATGTTTTAATGAAATCAAGAAGTTCAGTCTTTGTAAAAACTTTACCACCAAAACTGCGGAAAACTTTGATTTGAGATCTAAGCCCAACTAAAAGTTCAGAATCACGTTCAAGACCGAGGACGCAAAGCACAACGTTAAGACCGTGATTTCGGAGATGTCGACCTGCTGCTACAGCTCGGAGTCCACTCTTATTGTTACCGGCGAAGACTATAACCGTTGGAATTGAAGACTTCTTGCCTTGGGTCAAGCCACGACCTCCAGTGTTCACAGCCGACAATCCAACTTCAGCAATACCACGACCTGCATTCTCAGTCATCATATCTTCGGTGAGGCCAAGTTCAGCATCTGCAATATTTTCCAGATTAAGCATCTGAAGCGCCGAGATAGGTTCACATCGACGATCTGAAGGAACAAGATATAACATAGGCTTTGACGGTGCGACTGAGATATTCCGTGATGGCTGGGAGCTTGGAACAGTACTTCCTTTCCGCGAAATAGGTCTGTGGTGGTTGCCTATTTTACTCTCTGGTCTTCGTGCACGAGAATTTCTACCACTCCCTGAACCTCTTTGACTACTTATTTCTTGAATGTCGGTATCATCAGCGTCACTCTTCCAAAGTTCGGGAGCCTTTGTCGCACCGTTGGGCGAATCCAAAACATTCTCGGTAGGATGAAGATTCTTTCCACCGTACGTTCCTGGTTTTGCCTTGGGTAAGCGATTGTGTCCAACTAGGCGATCTGATTCTGCTATAGCATCCTCTGCCTGCATTTGGTTGAAAACAGATTTCTTGTCAAATTTTGCCAAACTACCAGCAAAATCAAAATCACCCATCTCTTGCACGTCGGTTGCTTCTTCAGTAGCCCATCCATTCTCATCCATATTTCTATTACCCCTCCTCTGAGACTTCTTCAAGGTTGCAAATGGTTGAAATGAAGTGACCGGTTCTAGCAAAGGAGTTTGTCTCCAACCTTTTGATCCGGGGGCATTTTTCGAAGGGCCAACGATTGGCTCCTGGAAGACACGCTCTACAGGCTTCTTTCCTTGATTCTTTCTCCTGCGAGTTCGCTGTCTACCTGATTTGGCCAAAGCCGGCTCCACCGACAATCCAGCTAGTTCTGTATCGAGTTCTTCCATCTCCGCTTCTTCATGCTCCAGCTCCGCCTGATCGTGCATTTCCTGACTTGTCAAACTATCGGGTAAGGTAGATGAAGTATTCTGTTCTTTGCGCCTATTCTCACGACCAATAACAGTTCGCGCTGAACCATCGCGTTCCATCGAAGCACTCTCCAATTGGAAATGCGATTGAACCGATGCTGCAGGAGAAGCTACCGATCCCGGTCTCCTTCCCATGCTCAGAATCGCCGGGTCCTCGAACTTTTTCGCAACAGACGCAGGTACAACCGCTGGCTTCTGTTGTATGACCGGAGAGGGCGGCTTGACATTTTCATTCCGAGCCTCAATCAATTCCGTAATTTCTGCCGCATTGATTGTAAACTCAGGGACATATTTGCCATTAGATGGGCATGTAACTGTGAGAAACTTCGTGTTAGCTAATGCAATTAATTTGTTTGCCAACGTTATGTGAGCACCAACCTTCTCGTAAAGTCAAGCTTTTACCCGGTTCAATACTACTGACGATACCTCGCAATTGTGCACCAGGCGGAGAACTCAACGTCACCAACATGGTAAGCCCAATAAATTGGTTCGACATGTTGGGTTTCGTTTCTTTGGCAGTTCACCACTGGCTGAGGAAGGTTTCGCGATATGCAGTAAGAGATGGAGGGTGGTATAAGCGCGTAGTTTTGGGTAAATAGCTCTCAATGAATGAAGATGGAGAGAATTATTGGTGGAATAATGATTCGAAATGGGTGCAATGGGTATAAGAGAAAGTGTTTCTCAAAGTGTTTCTCGTGAAACAAACTTGACAAACTTGACAACTTTGTTAATTTTTCTTTCTGATGGTTGGGAGTTTACAAGGGTAAGTGATAGCGAGGCGCGAGGTGAGACCAAAAACTATATCGGGTTTTAGAGCTAGTGATAATAATCGCCGCCTCAAGGTATCATCCCCGCCGCCTTATCGATAGACAGATAGGTAGCGCGGGGTGAATTTCAAGGTTTCTTAGGAAGGTCTTGGTGTAGATCCTACAAGACGAAACGAACTTACTGGGCAATCAATCATGCCATCAATATAGTGGCGTAGAGCATAGAGAATAGGTGAGTACTAGGTAGGTAATACAACATGAGAGAACATTTTCGATATTAAAATCTTGAGCATTCTTCACAGTGTAAATGTTGCATAGGTGATGGTGGTGATTCGATTTGTATTGGTTATTTTACAAGAAGTCCTTGTGATTTGTTCGGAAGTAAATTTAATACACATGAAGATGGAGGGGTATAACTCGTACTCGTCCCTTCATCCCATACTTAGCAATGGCGCCGTGCAAAGTCAATCCCGTTTTGGCGGGTTCAAACCCTATTCATAGATCGCCTACCATATAACCTTCACAGCCCAATCGAGTAAATCTAAGCAAATTCCAGTGACTCCTGCAACACCCCAAGATCTACCATCATGATTCTCATAGACGTCCGCCACTTCTGAACTGGCGTGCCATCTCTTCCTCGTCCTCGTCGAAGAAATTATCGTCTTGCAAAGGCTTGATGGGTTTCGTTGGTATCCTTGGTAGATCTGCTTTGGCAACTCTTGGGTGTGCCAAAGCTTTGTTGACGCTATATAAGCTGTTGTAAAATTCTGCAACCCTTGGATGAGCCATAACTTTGTTTGGATCAAAATTCTGAACCTCCAAGCCCGCTTGGCTTGTTGCCCGACTCAACGCAACATAAGCTTGACCGTTCTCGAACACCCTCTTCAAGTCAATCTTGACACGCTCCAGTGTTTGCCCTTGTGCTTTGTGGATGGAAAGTGCCCATGCAAGAATAAGAGGTAACTGGCTGCGCTGCGCCTGAACCTCTCCGTTGGGCAGCTCGATCTTCCAATCCTCTGGCTGAACAAGAAGGTCTCTAACAGTTCCGTCTGGAATGGAAAATCGTACCAGTGGAAACAGCCTTCCATGATTGGAGACGCCAGTGATAGGTAGCTCCTTGTTAGTTTGTTTGAACTTTGCGAGATCCGATTGACGGTTGTTTTCTTCTTCGGCATCGGAAAGTTCTTTTTCGTTGAGTATATCTGGGTTGGCATCGTAGATCTCGAACGACTTTTCACTCATAAAAGCGACAACTTTTCCAAGTGATCCGTTTACTAGACCATCATCCATATTTTTGATTAGCATGACTTGAGCTCCCTTCTTCAGCTCAATCGATTTTGGAGCCATCATGTTGGAAAGAAGTTTCTCCCTCATCCCTTCATCGGTAATCGACCCAGAGTCGACAGCATCAAACCTGTACGCCTTGCCATGTAGATTTCGCAGTCTGAATGTGTTCGAATTCTCGACCTCATTTCGGGTTGGGAATCTAACGACAGTTAGTAATGAAAAGGGTTGATACTGCACTTATACGCACAATTCTGTAGCTGTCAAGTCGTCTTCATAATTTATAGCGCG